GAAGTGAAGGTTAATCTGGACGGTGCAAAGATACAGATGGTTCCGTGTAGGATTATATCTTATTGCTAGGGTTTAATTTTGCTCCTGTTTTTTTTTGTTGAAAACAGTTAATGCATTGAGCGTTTTTTTATTTGTGTGAATGTGTGTGATCATGTGTCTGCGTTTGTATGTGTTCATGTGCGTGTGTGTGTATGTGTCGTATTGTGTATGTATGTGCTTTTGTTCATGCTTCCATTGCATTAATAACACATGTCTGTGGGTTTTAAAAAATAGGATCAAACTATCATTTCCGAGAAGGTTCTTTGCGCACTCAGTGAGTGTGTCCATTCGAACTGGATTTGATGGAATTGGCCTTTTTTTTAGATCGCACAGATTGTGTTGTTTTATGTCATAGTTGGATGGCTCAGGAACTATGCTATTGAGCTCCCCCCCATGCTAGGCAGGGGATGCGGTAGCATAGCGTCTGGGTCAGTTAACTGTGACGCATTTTCACTATGCATTCATTTCATTACCATAGTTATATATGCGATATAATAATGCATTTTCCATTTAATATTTAGATCACCATTTCATCATTATACATCATATACGCATAACATCATCTGGCATATGCGTTACGGAATAAACAGTCGCACGTTCACAATATCATTTTGGCAACCCATAGAGTATGGGTTCTGTTAAAACAAACCGGGAAATGAGAAGGAATGAGGTAAGGGGAGTGTGCTAAATTGCAGTGGCAAATACATGGCACTCAGTCGCTTTGTTACCGTTCACTAGTTTTTCTTCATCCTTCATTTTTTGAAGTAAAGAGGATGAAAAAAAAAATTGTACATAACGATTGTAATAGGTTGCTTCGCAACCCAAAAAGTTTCAGTGGTGGGCCCAAGGAAGCGTTCCCACTAGGGAACCTACTCTATACCATGTCAGAATCCCAACCACTAGACCATTGGGATAAAAGAGCTTGTTAAGTAGCGGGTCAGTGCGCCCATTATCCCCCAGGCCAACATGCCTGTAACCCTTCCCTAGGATCAATTAGGGATCACCAGTGGACCTCTGACACCCCCCCGCACTGGGATGCCCAAAGTGCATACACTGGGATTCGAAACCGAGACCTTCGCTTTGATACCATGTGAAGAAATGAGGAATGAATGAACTAGCAAGTAGGTGGGTACAAGTAGGAAAACCTAGAAATATTGTACCCCATATTGTCTATCCCACTACAGCCTACACAGACTATAGCATATGCGTTTGATACGGGGCAGCAGCGGGCTGCGAGAGCGGCAGACGCGGCGCGTGGGGCAGCAGCGGGCTGCGCTGGCGACGGAATTCTAGAAAGAAAAAATAAAGAAAGGAAGAAAAAAAAAATCAAACGTCCTCCCTAATTCATCCCCGTCCCCTCCCTCTCTCCCCACCCCCTCTCGTTGAGAGGGTAAGGTAAAGTGCATTTAATGTTTATGATATGTAAGGAAATTCCTTAGTCTTTACTTTGCGCCCGTGGTTACCGCGTACATGAATATTCCCTCCAACAGTAAACCGTTACCACAGCGACACTCGTCTCGACCACTGTTCCCGACAATGCTCACATCCCGTCCCAACCTTATAGCTCGGTTGGTTTGATAATCTGCACTCCGGTCTTCTGCGACAATTCCCAATCTCGGCACCAGGCCCGTCGCGCACCCTATTTCGCGCATTACCATTACCATGCTAGTTCGTTATATAGCATTCACTCATCCCTTCGCTCAATGTACTGTTTTGCTTTGATAGTGCTGTCTTTAGTTAGCTCACTAGATGGAAATCGTAACAGGATCCCACATGTTAAAGTTGTAACTCAATGTACAACTTGGTGGAGTACCACTCAGGCGATGATTTCCCGCGCGTTTTTGCGGGTCTGGTGGTGGAGGGAACGTCTAGGGTTTCGTGAAGCTTCTGCTGGTTCACTTAGAAAATAAGCCTATTTTCGATTTTGGTCAGATTAGCCAGCTCCCTGGGCTAGACTAGCAGGCTAAGAGCTTCGTGGCTTGGCGTTTGTGATTCATTCGTCGACAGTTCGGTCGTTTCGTCACTTACCGACTTTTGTGATTTTTCTTATCTCGGATCTGAAGTTCTTGCGAAGGCTAAGGCCATGGCATCAGGTTATGGCCGCTCACCCTACGACTCCGTTGGCCAGTTCGACTCGCAGCCGCCGTCGCGCAGCGGTTACGATTCCTTGGATCGCGACCGTCCATCCGCACACGCTTCGTATCGCGAACGGTCGCGGTCGCCTCGACGATCTGACAGTCTCGCTGGCGCTTCACGGGATCGTGACCGTTACGGTGTGACTGACCGGTCAGGGTTCTCCGGGAGGGACCGGGAACGCGAACGGGACAGAGAAGCAGGCCGATCCTACGATCGTGACAGGGACAGGGATAAGGACAGCTATCACGACCGGGACCGCGAAAAGGCTTCTTCTCGCGAACGGGAGAAAGATCGCGATAGAGGCGACGGTCGAGATCGTTCCTCGGGGTTCAGCGACCGGTACGATTCTGCCGGCCGGGGCAGCAGCGGCGGTTATCGTGACGACAAGTACGACCGCGATCGTGACGACCGGTACGACCGCGTTCGTGACGATCGGTACGGCGTGTCCAGCAGCAGGTTCGGCGGCGGCGGACCTATGGGGATGGGAGGTCCGCCGTTAGGTCCGCGCGGAATGGGAGGTCCTGGAGGTCCGGGAATGAGCGATCGGTGCAATGCGTGCGGCGGGGTGGGTCACTGGGCGCGCGAGTGCCCGAGCAAGTTCGGCGCGCGAGGCGGGTTCGGCGGAAGGTTCGGCGACGATGGGATGGGACCCAAGTGCTACGAATGTGGGCGGAGGGGACACGTGGCACGAGAGGTATGTCCGAGTGGAAATATCTGGTCATGATCACGAAGCTGTTGGAGGTTGTTCCACTTACACCCCCTTTATTTCGATCCGTTCCCTCTTTAATTGTTTAATGTTTCAAGCTCACTGTGTGTTTGTTTCACGTCGTCGCTGTTTGTACATGTATTTCCGTTTTCCCTCGTCGCTTGTTCTTATGCCTTTTGTCTCCATTAAAGTTGGTCACCCGAAGCAGACGTGGTTAATGCGTTGGTCGTTCCGTAGGGTTAGTTTGACATAGAAAGGGCACCAGCCGTTGTCTTTCTTGTGGTGAAGGGCGAGGGAGATGAAGAGGAAGAGGGAAAGGGAGCGAGAGGGGAAGCAGAAAGGGATGAGGGAGAGTGCGTTGTCAGGAAAGCTCGGCCTTAGCGCAACGCGTGAAAGTGGCGTGTCTCTCCATGTGTGCTCCTGCTCCTTATCCTTCTCCGTCTCGTTCTTCCCTGAGGGGCTTTACATGCTCGGTGCGAAGCAACGGCGAAGGTGGGTCCTGCGCGTAGCTGTTAGATTAGAGGAGAAACGATGGGTGAGGAGAGGGTGAGGGGTAGGAGAAGGAGGGCGACTGGGAGGGCTGGACGCTGAAAATCATGGAGGTGAAGCGGAATGGGAAACTGGAGGGGGTGGAATGGAGTGGCGTGGAGAGGTGGAGTGTGGTGGCGTGGAGTGAAGAGGTCTGGAGCGGAGTGGGATGGAGTGGAGTGAGGTGGAAGGTGGAGGGGTGATGAGGGCGTGGCGGAGGTACACACGGGAGGTGGGCAGAGGGGAAAGACAGGGAGGAGTTGAGAAAGTGGACTAGGGGTGGGACTGAGCGGGGCGGGGCGGGGGAGGGGAAGGGGGGGCGGAAGAGGGGGAGAGATATGGGACACACTGCCTCTCCTTGCCTCCAGCGCTCTCCGCCCAGCTTTCCTCCTAGCCTCCCGTCTCGAGGTGCGCACCTCGCCATAAGACCGTAGTTTACACATCAAGGTAGGTATGCTGGATTAATCGGCTTACGAGGCGCCGTGCCGTCTTCTGCTTACCCCCCTTTGTTCATAACTAGTTCCCAGCGCGGATCCCTGCGCCTTCCTTCCGCACGTTGCACCGTCTCTTCCTTCCTCTCCACCCCGCGTCACTCCTCTGCATCCCTGCAGGCTGTCAGTTCCAAGCGAGGGATTCTTGAAGGCGGTCAGAGCTGTTACGTCTGCAAGGATGTGGCTCACTTATTCTGAACCGCCTCATTGCCCCTCTGCGCCCCTCTGCACTCCTCCCGTCCTCCCTCAACCGCTCGTCACCCCTCTGTACGCCTGCAGTGTCAGTTCAAGCAGGGCAACCCCGATGGTCCCATAGAGCAGCGCTGCTACGTGTGCAACGAAGTGGGTCACATCGCCCGCGACTGCCCCGCCAAGCCACCCCTCGGCGCCCCCATCGGAGCCATAGGCTCGGGCCGAGCCGGGCCCGGGTTCGGCCCAGGCTCGGAGTTCGGTCAGGACGGGTGCTACTACTGCGGCAGGAAGGGGCACTTCGCGCGAGAATGCCCGGAGAAGTTTGGCGGCGGCGCGCCGATGATGCCGCCGGCGGCAATGGCGGCGGCGGCAGCCGCGGCAGTGGGAGGGCTAGGTCCGGGGATGCAGGATCGGTGGATGGGGGGGCTGGGGGCAGGGATTGGGGCGTTCAGGCCGGGATTTCCGCCGGGGATAGCGGCGTTTGGGGCGCCGATAGGGACGGGGTTTCCGCCGCAGGTGGTGCGTCCGGCGGGAGACGGGTGCTATGAGTGCGGCGAGCCGGGGCACTTCGCGCGAGAGGTACGCCGCTGCGCTCCCGTGCTAGCGTTTGCTGTGTGTATGCTAGATCTACGGCTTATGCTGCGTATGCGGTTCACGCATAGGTTCACATGCGCGTTGTCCTATCATCCCTTCCTCCCTTCCTCCCCAACCACCCCCCTCCCACCCCCCGACCCTCCCACACCCCGCCCCATTCCCACCTTCCCTCTCCGCTCCCCGTTCCCAACGTTCCTCTCTTAACCTCGCCTTTCCGTTCCTCCTTTCCTTCCCTCTACGCCTGCTGCCCTCTCGTTCCGACGCTGCTTATGCATTGCTTGTTGATTGCGCCGATTTGTAAAGCGCGCCAATGAATGACGTATCTTTCTTTCCCGCACTCCCCCCCTTTCTCCTTTCCTCCCCCTCTCCCACCCCCCGGCCCCCCGCCCGTCCCCCTGCCCCCCTCCCTGCTTCCCCCGCCCGTTCTCTTCCCCGCGTCTGTTTCCCCGCCGCAGTGCCCTACCCGGTCGCGGCGCTTTGCGGAACGGGCAGCGGCGGCGGCGGGGGCGGCGGGGATTGCAGTGGCGGGGACGGGGGCCGAGGGGCGGCGCATTGCTTCCAAGGCAAGTGGGAGGGCGGCAGAGGAGGCGCTTAATAATGAGCTGGAGACGTACATGAAGGTACACCCGGTTTCGTGGTTATATTCAGGTGCCAGTTCTGGTGTAGATTGGCTAGGTTCACAGGAGGCGCGTAATAATGAGCTGGAGACGTACACGAAGGTACACTCGGTTTCGTGAATATAAAAGTACATACAGGTGCTAATTCGAGTTCTGGTGTAGATCGACTCGATTTAGTTATGAGCGTAGTAATGAGCTGGAGACGTACGTGAAGGTAAATTCGGTTTCGTGGTTATACACTGAGGTGTTAGTTATGGTTTGGGTGTATTTCTACTTTATATAGGCAGAAAAGGTGCTGAATGTTGAGCTGGAGATGTATACGAAGGTATTCTAGCTCTGGTGTAGTTCTGCTCATATTAATCTCAGGAGGCGCCTAGTGATGAGCTGGAGACGTACCCAAAGGTACATTAGTTTTCGTGACTTATTTGATGAGCTGGAGACAACACGTAGGGGAGCGTTGGGTTCCGTTTTTTAGTTGACTCAAAGTTGAAACGCAGGAGGCAGTTAGACAAAGAGATGGGGACAATACGTAGGGGTGCGCTGGGTTTCCATGCGGTCTGATGGAGTGTTGTTTCAACACATGCATCAATGCATGTCTGGGCTCGAAAAACAAGGTAGCAAAAATAGGAGTTCAAGGTGGAAAGTGGAGAGAAAACAGAAAGCTGACCAGTTTACTTCCTGCTTGAAGGCGATTCTCCTTTTTCTTTGTGTTAAGTCTAGATGTAGTGGTTTAGGGCAGGTTGATGAAGCACAGGACCATCGTTTCAAAAAAAAAAAAAACCCCTCCTGTTTTTTGTTCCTGTGGGTGTTGTTGCAGGACAAGGCTAGGGATGGGGGCAGCAGTGAGGAGAGGGAGGAGGAGGGCAGGAGGCGCGGCGGGAGGGAGAAGGATGCAGAGGGAAGAGACGAGGTAAGAGGAGGGCGGAAAGGGGGAAAGGATTCCAGTGATAGCGACAGTGGTGGTGTGCGGAGGAGGGGGAGGGGTGAGAAGAGGGGAGGCGACAGGAGTAGCAGGAGGAAGCGTTCTCGATCGCGATCGAGCAGTAGCCGGTCCAGGTCGGTGGGTAGTAGTAGTCGATCGAGCCGCTCGTCGGGATCGAAATCGTCCCGGTCGAGGAGTAGGTCAAAATCCTCGAAATCCTCGCGGTCGCGATCCAAGAGTAGATCGAAATCGAGGTCGTCGAGGTCGTCTCTATCGTCCAAGTCAAGGAGCTCGAAATCGAAGAGTGGGGGGTCGAAGAGTGGGGATTCGAAGAGCACGGGGTCTTCGTCTCGGCGCAAGGGGTCGCCGTCCGCCAGTGATGCGTCGTCCGGGAGGGATGGGAAGAGGAGGGGTTCTGAGGAGGTGGTTTCGAAGAGTGACGATGGCGGGAAGGAGATGGAAGGGAGGAGGAGGCGAGGAGGGAAGGGAGAGGGGCGGGAGGAGGAGAAGAGGGAGAAGGGGAGGGAGGGAGGAGAGGAAGAGGAGAGGAAGGAGGAGGAGGAGGGATCTGGGAGCAGGGGAAAGGAGGGTGGAGAGGAGGGGGGGAAAGGAGGGGAGGACAGGAAGGAGGAGGCAGCGGAGCAAGGTAGGGGGGATGAAGGAGGAGAAGGGGGAGAAGCGAGAGGAGCAGGTGGGTTGAGTGAGCGACGAAATGAGGGGAAGGCAGCAGAGGGAGATGAAATGGACGAGGATAAAGGGGACGGGGCGACTGCAGGGGGTAAGCAGGCAGGGGAGTCCGAGGCAGATGGGGTCAAAGGAGCTGGAGGTGCTAGTGATAGTGTGAGGGGGGAGGATGCAGGAAACAAGCGCAAAAGGACGAGTGAGGGTGAGAATACAGTTGGGAGTGTGGGGGAGGGAGGGGGCGAGGGGATGAGCTTGGGGCTGGATGCTATTGCAGCAGCAGCAGAGGCTGAGGCGGCTGGGGCAGAGGCAGAGGCGGTGGAGGGAGGGAAGGAGGGGACGGAAGGACGTAAGTTGCTTGATTTGAATGAGATGGAAGGAGGAAATGATGGGCGTGTGGATCAAGGAGGGCATTGATTGGTTTGGCCCCTGCACACGCTCAGAGGTGTGTTGGATGTGCATTTTGCGAGCTGCATTTTTGGCAAGTGGGCGTTACTCAGCTGGTATGCTTGAATCATTGAAATAATTTGAATATTGTGCACTTCTTATGCTGTGTTGGTTCTCATTGGTGCAGGGCCGCTGGGGTTCTCGGTATGAGGATTAGCATTTGGTTATCTGTGTAACAATGGACATGTTTGACTTAATTTGTTTAGAATCATACCTGGAATGATATCTGACCAATTTTGGTTTTTTAGAAGCAATCGCAGATTCAGTCACTCGAGATTTGGGGGGGAATGCTTTTCATGTCGCCCTGTTACGTAACCTTCCGCCAGCGTAGCTGTTTTTCCGCCGCGAATCAAGCAATACAGCTCCTCAGATTCTCATGATCTCTGAAACGCCGCCGGAACATGCCAAAAACCCCAAGCCTCTGGCGTGTCCGTTGAAATTGCCGAGCTCCCTTCAGCCAGACCAGAGCTCTCTTGCCCATTGAGAGTTCTGGCTCATCTAAGTCCATTGTTTCAAATTTCTTGTACCAGCCTAGAACCTTGTTCTTCTCAAGCTCACAAATTTCTTGGCTCAGGTTCCAGGTTGTGCCTTGTCCTGGAATCTTCAAGCTAGTCCTTTTACCTCTAAGTACCCTTGTGAATCGAACACCTGAATATCGGTTCCCTCTGTGGAGAATCTTTTAAGGAGCATTACAAGGTTAAAAGTCCGATCTGCTGAAAGCTGGTCCTCGTGATCAAGCACTTTCAAGATGCTCGACATTAACTTGTTCCGAGCGGAGAAGGGCGGGAATCCAGAGATCATTCGCGAATCACAACGGCGAAGATATGCGAAAGTGGAGCTGGTCGACGAAGTGATCGCTCTGGATAAAGAATGGCGAGAATGTGAGTTCACGGATCGAATGTGATGACTTAAACAAGCCTTCGCCTTTTCTATCTCTTCCTCTTCCACAAGTCTTTTGCTTATCACGTCGATTCCGGCTCGGCTTGTTCCTGTGTTGTCCTAGTAGTTTTATTCACTGATGATCTGGTTTCATTGTATTTCTTCTCTTCAGGCCAATTCCAGCTGGATCAGCTTCGAAAAGACTTCAACAAGGCCAACAAGGAAGTCGCCGCCAAGAAGATTGTAAGTGCTTCTGTTTGTGGTGTTTCCCTGATTCCAGTCGACCAATGTGATAAAAAAGCTTCGTCTGCCGGTTTCCGGTTCGTGTCTTCCATGTGCTGTTTGTAGTTTGCTTTATTAGCTAAACCACGTCTGGTTTATATTGTGACCCGTTTTTCTCGATAACGCCTTAAACCCCTCCGACTCTTGTTTTCTCTTCCTACTTCGGAGAACCAAGCAAGGTCGACGGAGATTAACCATCGACGAGGAGATCAACTCCATTTTTTAACCTCTCATCGTTCTCTTTCGCCTCTCATCGTTCTCCTCCCATTTCGCAGGCGAAGCAGGATGCGACAGAGGAGATAGCCAAGGTGAAATCCATCGACGAGGCGATTAAAGCCAAGGCGGTGGAGGTGGAGGAGAAGCGCAAGGAGGTGGACGCGCGCGTGAACACGATCGGCAACCTGGTGCACGACTCCGTGCCCGTGGACAACGACGAAGACCACAACGCCGTCATTCGCACGTGGGGCGAGCCCCGCACGGACGAGGGGGTGAAACGCAACCACGTGGATCTGGTGCACATGCTGGACATCGCCGACTTGGAGAGAGGTGCGGCATTCAATCTGGTGTCGCAGCATTTGTCCTCAATAGTTGTTTCTGCCTTGATCTGCTTTGATCGCAACCACGTGGACCTGGTTCACATGCTCGACGTCGCGGACTTGGAAAGAGATCCGATGTTGGTTTCAGTGTCTCCCTTCAGTAATCCCAACTACGCCTTGTTTCGCTTGGATTGCAACCACGAGGATGTGGAGAACATCCTCGACATCACGGACTTGAACGCGGTTATTTATTTCATTTTATTTTCTCTCTCTCGTTTTGTTGCGTTTTTGGGTGTTTTTATCAACAGGCGCGAGCACGGCGGGGGGGCGAGGGTACTACCTCAAGGGGATGGGCGTGATGCTGAACCAGGCCCTCATCAGCTTCGGCCTCTCGTTCCTTGTGCAGCGCCAGTACACGCCGTTGCACACGCCCTTCTTCATGCGCAAGGACGTCATGGCGGAGTGCGCGCAGCTCGCGCAATTCGACGAGGAGCTCTACAAGGTTCGTTTGGGTTTAAAACGTTGGAAATTTTAGGAAATCAAGTTTGGAGGTCGAATTAGCCGTGGTGTGTTGTGGACTTTGTGTGCCTTCGGATTTCTCCTATTGTGGTGTGGACATGTCCCACCATCTCGATTTTTTTCGTCGCGTGGCCTCACGTTTCACGTGCGTTTCTGCCTCCGCTCCGCGTTTGTCCGTGCAGGTGTCGGGAGAAGGCGACGACAAGTACCTGATCGCCACGTCGGAGCAGCCGCTGTGCACGTACCACCGAGGGGAATGGCTCGACCCCAAGGCTCTCCCTCTCAGGTGACGCTCTTTCAGACCCTCTCCACTCGCGCGCCTTCCTCACTCCCCGTTTCTCCCTCCTTTGAGCCCTTTCCCCCATCCCCTCCTCCCCCACTCGGGCTCCCCATCCCGTTCCACCCACCCCTCTTTCTCTTACTTCTTTCACTTATAATCATCTTTGTGTCGGCGACTCGTCGGCAGAAGCCCCCTCCTTTCTGCCACGTCCGTCGGCCACATAAGTACCGCCTCGGTGTTCTGTGATGATAACCATCCATGCTAATTCCGACGCCCGTCAGGGTCGCATGGGGACCCACATCTTTTTTACTCTCTTACTGAGAACACCAAGGGGGAATTAGGAAGAATCACGGTAGTACTGTACTGTGCGATGTTGTCCCTGCATTTCATTTAGGATTTACTGTTTCAGTCTTCAGAATCTCGCTCTCATGACAGGTGGTCCATTGATGTTACAAAACACCATGCTAATTCTGAACCCCGTCTAACGGAGTGTGCGGAAAAACATCTCTATTCAAGCTGAGGACCACCAGCTGTCCAGTTTTGTATTGCTTGTCATTACTCTCCGCGCGCGGTCTACAAAGGCTAGTCACTGACTCTGCCAACCACGCTGCCCTGTTCCCTTACCTTTCCCATTCGCCACTCGGTTTCTTTCTGCTGCCGTTCTGCTGTTTCTACTGTCGTCTTACCCTTGTCTTCACCTCAACCCGTCGCCTTCACCTCATTCTCGCTCAGATACGCGGGGTACTCGACGTGTTTCCGCAAGGAGGCGGGGTCGCACGGGCGGGACACGCTGGGCATATTCCGCATCCACCAGTTTGAGAAGGTGGAGCAGTTCGCCATTACCAGCCCCAACGCCACCGACTCGTGGGAGATGCACGAGCAGATGCTCAAGAACTCGGAGGAGTTTTACCAACAGGTGGGTGGCTACATTGGGGGCATTCGACGCTGGGATGGTGTTGAACCAACATTTCGATCTGCAAATTTAGTTGGCAAGTGATTAGCCCTTGCCCAACCGAGGCAAATGTGCACTCTTGTTGAATTCTGGCAGCAGCAGCTGCAAGAGCCCAATGATGATCCTTGTCTTAACCACACTGAAGGACGTGTGCCAAGGGGTGGCCCTCCCAGTCTCCGCTCCTCCCTCTCTCCTCGCCCGTCCCCTCCTCCTCGCCCTCCTCCCTGTCTTTTCCGCCTCTCATTCATGGCATTACCACCACCACCTGTTCCTTTGTCTTGTTCCCATCATTCTTCCGCCTCCATTCATTGTCGTTTTCTCCTGTGTGGGAGAGGAGAGGGGAGGTAGCGTGGCTGGTGCGGGTCCGCCCCTTGGGGTTGTGCACACGTGTGGAAAAACCTGGCTAGAACTGAGGGCTTGCTGCTGCATTGGCTTTATTTCTCTCTTTCGTGCAACTCGGGTGTTTGTGGACTCTCGGATTGCAAACACTGCCAATGATTTCGTCACTTAAAAATGCCCTTTGGAGGCATGGGTTGTGTTGGTTTCTTCCGCCCTCAGGCTTGCCCACTCCTGTCCCCTGGCACATCTTCCCCTCCCCCCCTGTTCCTCTCCCCATCGTCCTGTGGGTCGTGTTTCACCCATTTCCATGCTCCTTTTCCCCTGGCTCCACCGTCCCTCCTTCCTCTCTTCTCTCACCATCCCAGCTGGGTCTGCCATATCGGGTGGTGGCCATAGTATCAGGGGCGCTCAACGACAGTGCAGCCAAGAAATATGACCTGGAGGCGTGGTTCCCGGCCTCCAAGACCTTCCGTGAGCTCGTGTCCTGCTCCAACTGCACTGACTACCAGGCCAGGCGGCTTGAGATCAGATACGGCCAGAAGAAGGTGGGTCTGTGTGGGGTGGGGTGCTGTCCCGGAGTGTGAATGTAAAGAGGTGTATAAGTATGCTTGCGAGCTTGTCTCCTGCTCCAACCGCCCCGACTATCGAGCCAGGCGGCTTGAGATCAAATACGGGCATAAGGTGTGAGTGTGTGTGTGGTGCAGTGACTGGGTAGTGAAGTTTGAAGAGTTCACTAGGTATTTTGCAAGCTTGTCTCGCGCTCCTGACAAATGCGTACCGTCTCACCTCTCTGTTTTGCCCCGCAGATGAATGAGACAACAAAGCATTACTGCCATCTGCTCAACAGCACTCTCACTGCTACAGAGCGCACCATTTGCTGCATCCTCGAGACCTATCAGACTGAGACAGGTGTTACTGTGCCAGAGGTGCTTCGGCCCTTTATGATGGGTGTTGACTTCATCCCCTTCGTAAACGCCCCCCCTAGCGCACCGGCGGATAAAAAAGCTGCCAAAGCAGGCGGGAAAAAGGAGAAGGGAGGTGGAGGAAAGAAAGCAGAAGCCCCTGCTGCAGCAGCTGCAGTGAAGGAGACTGCGGATAAGCTAGCAGAGGCTGCCATTGATGGAGATAAGTAAATGAGATTTTTCACGGAAACATTAGCACATGATCAACAACTTGTTGAGTCTGTTGGTGATTTGCTTGGCATGTGGAGCTTAGTTATCCATGCATTCATCAATGTCAGAAGTGATTCATTACAAAATCATGTCGAATTTGAGACTATAAACAAAGGTTGGAATTGAGCTGATGTACGGGATTGGGTGACTCCGGCACACAAGCGCCTGCTTCCATGATGCTGTACTCCGTTAGAAGTTTTTGTTGGTATTCTCGGATAAGGCTGTTGCGTTGAATGCTTTTTCCCTTTCGCCCCTACAAACTTTCATTACAGTACAGTTCGATTAAAGCGATCCTTTCCCAACCGCGAGTGTGCCTCTCGGCTGGTGAGCCACGTTGAATTCGCTCCCGCTCCCTCCCATCCCATTTCATTTCACTCACAGCGGATCTTCATGTTATTTTCATTTCCTTGACACTACAACGCCTTCGCGTCTCCCTGGCAGATTCGCACATACCGTTGTCTTGTACCATCGCGCATGGTCAGGCGTTCCTCTAGCTTCGGAGTTGGGTAGGATTCGTTCGCCGCCGCTGACTGTTTCGTATTGCCGAATCGTAGGCCTGATAGACTTTTGTCCCATAGAGACCGTTGACTCTCAGATATTTTGAGTATAATCACGAATCTGCTCTTGCCACGTGGCAAGAGCAAGCAGCAACAGGCTCGAAATGATGAATTTTCCCGGTGCGGCTGACGATAATCATGCCCTGGACGAATCAATGGACACCATGGAAAGCCTGATGCTCAATCCGCCCGATCAGCATCCGACACCTGGCATGCCATCTGGAATGGCTGGAGATTACAGCAGCATCTTATCCTCCAGCTCATCGCAGTTTTACACGTCAGATCCTCTCGGCCAATCCTGGAACCCGCCTCCCCTACCCACGGATTCATCCCCCGTAACATCCGCCTCGTTTGGCGGGTTCCCTGACGTGGGCTTGGATCCGGCACCGCCGCCTTATCACGAGGCTCTGCAAGCTCCACGTGTCGGTGACGTCAGCAGCAGCGATATATTTTCAGGGCTAGGCTTATCCGCATCAGGCGGATTAGGAGGTTCGGATTTCGGGCTAGGCATGCCCGCAGGTGGCGCCGACATTCACGGCGGAATCCCCGGCGGGGTCTTTCCAGGAGGCATCGGGGGGTTCCCAGGTGGGAGTGGTGGGCCAGAAGCGGCTTCTGCGGCGGCAAATGCGGCGTCTCTTGGGGGGGCAGCGGTTGGTACAGTACCAGGCCAAGTGACTGGCGAAAATGGCGGCAGCGGCGGCGGCGCTAGTGGCGGTAAAGGACAAGTGATGCCGAACGATTTTATAGACGTGAGAGTAGTAGGTTCCAAGAAGCTGCAGGAGGCGGGCGGCTCCATGATTCCCGGAGGGGGTTCTTACGTGGCGTATGTGATTGAGACGAAGACGAATGTGCCTGAATACGGGGCCCCATCTGCCCGCGTGGAAAGGAGATTCCGCGAATTTGTCGCCCTGGCTGACAGGTACACAGGTTCGGTTCTGCTCGGTTCTGCTCGGTTCTGTTCGGTTCTGTTCAGCTCTGTCCGCTTCGGTTCTGCTCTCTTCGGGTGTTAGTGGTGCTGCTAATCCTGTGCGGCCGGACAAGAACATGGTGGAGAGGAGAGTCAGGTGCTCCAGGGGGCGGAGGAGAGTCAACCTCCCTCTGGTCCCATCTTTCCCTCTCGTCCTTCTCCTCCCTACCGCAGTCTGGGCGAGACGCATCGCGGGTATTCCATCCCGGAGCGGCCGGACAAGAGCGTGGTGGAGAGTCAGGTGCTGTGCTCCAGGGGGCGGACTCAAATTTTCCTGCCTGTTCCCCCTGGCGTCCTCTCCTCTCTTTCTTCCCGTTCTTCCTTCTCCTCCCTTGACCAGATTGGCCGAGACCCACCGCGGGTACTTCATGCGGGTGCGGCCGGACAAGAACGTGATGGAGAGTCAGGTGGTGCAGGGGGCGGAGATGAGATGACTCAACACCCGCCGTCTGTTCCCCCTGTCCTGTCCTGTAATTTCATCTCTTTCTTTTCCAGACTCGCAGAGACGCACCGCGGTTACTTCATCCCGGTACGGCCGGACAAGAACGTGATGGAGAGTCAGGTGCTGCAGGGGGCGGAGTTTGTGAAGACGAGGCAGGTGGAGCTCGATAAGTACGTGCAGCGCCTCGCACGCCACCCTGCCATCCGCCGGTACGTGTGAATGGCCTTTAGAGCCCCTCTGGGTGCTGCGCTGGGTTGAGCTTGTGAAGACGAGGCAGGTGGAGCTCAATAAGCACATGCCGCGCCTGGCCCGCCACCCGCCACCCTGAGATTCGCAGGTAAGATTCATTCTCTTCTTGTTTGAGCCCACGTGGGATCCACGTGGGACCCACGTGTGAGTGACCTTGGGAGTCCACTTGGGAGTTTGTGAAGACGGGGCAGGTGGAGCTGGATAAGTGCGTGCACCGCCTCACACACCACCCCGCCATCCGCCGGTATGGGACGATGGATGGGGATGAAAAAATGGGATGAGTGAACGTGGCTTCTGCTCGCCCTCCCCCTCCCCCTCCCCATCCTCCCCCTCCCTCCTCTCTCCGCCTCCAGGAGCAGGAATGTAATTGCCTTTCTGGCTTCCCTTTCCCCCTTAACCCCCCGTTCCCCCCTTCCCTTGCCTTTCCCCCTTAATTGCCTTTCTGACTTCCCTTTCCCCCTTCCCCCCCATTCCCCCCATCTTCTCCCGCTTCCTTTCTTTCCCCCTCTGCAGGAGCGCGGATTTGATTTCCTTCCTGACGTCATCCGAGAGATTTCAGCCCGCCTCGTCAGTAGACATCGCTTCCCGCGTACTGGAAGGTGCCGTGAAGCTTCCCCAGCAGCTGTTTGGGGCGGCAGACTCCATCACGCCGGCAGAAGCTGCCAAACCGGCGGGCGGCGGGAGGAACCTTCTCAGAATGTTCAAGGAGTTTGGGCAGTCCGTGGCGAACGATTGGACGGGCAAGCCGCCAGCTGTCAGTGGTTCCACGTCAGCAGCAGGGGGGGGTGGAGGAACGTCCACGTCAGCATTAGAAGCAGGAGCAGGAGCAGGAGCGGGAGCAACAGGCGAAGAATCCGGAAACTCCAGCGGAAAGGGACAAACGGCGCCGACCGCAGCGGAGGTCGAGGCGGACGAGGCGCGGTTTGGTTCGGCCCGAGCCAAGCTGGCAGACCTGGACAAGCACCTGGCCGAGGCTACAGCCGGGGCGGTGCAGATGATGCAGGCCCAGGACGGCTGTAGCCGCATTGTGGGCTCCCTGGGCATCACGTTCGGGTCCCTGGCTAAGCTGCAGGGGCAGCGCCTGGCGGAGGGGGGCGCAGGGGGCGCAGGGGGAGGCGCAGGGGGAGGGGTAGGGGTAGGCGGAGGCGGAGGGGGAGGGGGAAGTGCAGCTGGAGGGGGGCCGGAAGGTGGAACTAGTTCGGAGGCAGGGGGAGGAGGCGGGGATAAGGGGGTGGGGCAGCGGGAGCGGGCGTTTGTAGCAGAGTGTCAGAGCGTGGGCAAGGGTATGGTGCGCAGTGCCCAGCTGTCACACAGCGTGGTGGAGAGAAACAAACGCACTCTGGTGAGATGGGTTGGGCTGGGTTGGGCTGGGCTAGGTTGGGTTGGGTTGAGTTGGGTTGGGTTGGTTTGCCTAGACAATGGCATGCCAGTCAGCCCTCCCTCCCTCTCCTCTCCGCCCTCCTCCTTCCTCATCAGTCCATCCTCCAAGAGTACCATAAGACAATGGTTGCCCCCTCCTCTTCCCCCATTTCTTACCCCACTTCTTACCCCCCTTCTTACCCCCCTTCTAACCCCACTTCTTACCCCCCTTCTAACTCCACGTCTTACCCCCCTTCTTACCCCACTTCTTACCCCCCTTCTTACCCCCCTTCCTACCCCACTTCGTACCCCACTTCTTTTCTTACCCCGCCCATCTCTCCCCATCAGTCCATCCTCCTCGAGTATCACAAGACAACAGCTGCCGCCCGGACGGCCCTCGCCGACCGGTCCCAGGCACTGCTGACGTGGCAGACACTGGAGAGCGATCTGGGCGGCAAGAAGACAAAGCTGGACCGGTTGGGGTCGGTGGACGGATCAGATCCTGCCAAGCAGAAGAAGGCTCAGGAGTTGCAGAGGGAGATTCAGGCGCTTGAGAAGGCTAAAGAGGCTGCTATTAACGAGTACAGAAAGATCACTGTGAGTCCACATATCATGTTTCTTCAACGTCAGGTGCACTGTTGTTAGTTTCCAACCCGACTCCGAAGCAGGGCGGCCTGCGACAAACTAGCGCACTTGTCACTCCCCTGCACAAACTCCATTCCATTCTCCACGCCCCACGCCCATCTCCTTGCACCTCCTCAGGAGCGCAACCCGTCGGAGCTGCAGCGGTTTGAGAGTGAGAGGAAGCAGGGCAGCTGCGTACGGCTAGCCCGCATCTCACATGCTCAAACTCTCTTCCCCTCACACGTCACGCTTTCACCCACGCCCTCACGCCCTCTCGTTTCCCTTCACTCACAGGAGCGCAATGCATCAGAACTGCAGCGGTTTGAGAGCGAGAGGAAGCAGGAGTTTCTTGCCATGCTGGGCAATTTCGTACAGGACCAGGTGCGAGTGCGTGTCTGTTCTTGTGTCATGTGGTTGCGCTGTTTGTTCTCGTGAACACATGCCTCGCGTGTGAGAGCGAGAGGAAACAGGAGTTCCTGGCCATGCTGGGCAACGTTGTTCAAGACCAGGTGCGTGTGTTGCATTCCTGTGCTGCTATCCTTGGGTTGTTGGGAGCTGAGAGTCGGGAGGATTTGGGAGGATTGGGGAGGTTTGGGGAGGAGTTTGGAGGATTGGAGAGGAGTTGGGAGGGATTTGGGGGCGAGTCGGGACTTGGGTGTCAGGGGTGGATCTTCAGTTGCAGGATTTACCCAGATGCAGTATTCCCCGTTTCTCCATGCATCCATGCATACATGCATACATGCATGCATCCATTCATCCTTTA